GCTACAACAAAGGCCCCGCTCGAGCGTCAAAAGCTCCGCTCGAGCGGACAGGCCAAAATCTGGGCATCTAGTTTTGGTTTCTAAGTTCAACCAACCTGTTTCAAACCCACCCAACACAACCCAAGACTCACATACAACGAGTAAAGGATGTAAACAAGGTATACACAACAACCAACTCCACAGAACTTAAGTCCGGATACAACAATAAAAGAAAAGAGAAACCGGGATCGCTATATTTTGTAAACGTTGCCTTTTGTGTTAATTAAAACGAATCCGGATCCTCGGCTGCCCTACCCGGCAGCCCCCAAAACGACGTCGTTTTGGGGGTTTTTTGTTTTTGTTTTTGTTTTTTTTCTTTTCTTCTTCTTCGTTCTTGCTTTCTCTCTCTTCGAACAGAAACCAGAGGGGAGGGGAGAGGGAGAAGAGGGAGGAAGGAGGAGGGAGGAGGCTGCGAGCTTGCCATCGCAGCTCGTCGCCTCGCCGCCGGCCGTCGCAGCCGTCCGATCGTCGCCCGATCCAACTCGTCACAGCAGCTGCACCGCCGTCGCCTCCCCTTGCTCCGCCTCCTCCTCCTCCTCCTCCTCCCCCACTGGTTATGGCCCCCTCCAGTCCGGCCCTTCCCTTCCTCCTCCTCCTCCTCCTCCTCCTCCTCCCTCTCTTCCTCTGCGTTTTTTTTTTTTTTTAAATTTGCCCCCAAAACGACGTCATTTTGGGAGCTGCCGGGTAAAATTGCCGGATAGGACGGCCGAAAATCCGAACTCAATTAAAACGGTCCCCTTTCTGAATAGAGGTCATTTGAAAGCGCCTCCAAATCCTTATTTCCAAACCCTCTCCCTGTCTCTCTTCAAACCCCTATTTCCAAACCCTACACAAAGTCGATCTATTCTCACAACTCCAAGGTGACTCTCTCTCTCTCTCTCTCTCTAAACCCTAATTTTAGTCTTAGAGGATCGAATCAATACGAAGTTCTCTCTCTGGATTCCTCTTCAGCATGATGATTCCTCTTAGTGATTCATCTCAGACCAATTGCGATTCTGATTTTGAAGTTCTCTCTCTCTCGATTGTGAGCACCACCTTCTACAATCTTAGAAAAATCGATTGAATCCTTCAAAACCTTCTTCAGCTCGGTGATTCCAGTTGTGGTGTTCGTCTTTGTGGATTTGGAACTCTTCGTCTTCTTCGATCAGTGAGATCAGAGGTTAGTTGAGCTCAAATTTTAGGAACATTTGAAACTTGTTTCTTTCTTAAATGTTTCTTCTGTGCTTTGTTTGTGAATAGCTGTTTGTGAATCTCTCTTTGCTCATCTTCTTCCCATTGGTTTGTGAAGATTTAGTGGGTATATAATTAATGTTTCTTCTGTGCTCTGTTTGTGAATAGCTGTTTGTTATTTTGCTTAAATTGTGTGGATTTCGTACCAAAGTGTTAGTGTGGAGTGTCGAGTTATGTGTTTGGTTATGAGGTTTGAAAATAATTTTTGAATTGAGTTTTGAGTTATGTGTTTGGTTACGATTTGAGTGTGAAATTGTGTTTTGAGTTTAAAATATTAAAATTAAAATATTAAAATATTTACAAAATAAAATAAAATATTTAAATAAAAATTATATATTTAAAGTAAAAAATAATTTTTTTTAAAACATTTTTTAATATTTTTAAAAAATAAATCCTAAAAATACTGTTCAAACACTCTAAACTTATCCTCCAATCCAAAACATTTTTTAATATTTTTAAAGGGAAGGGCAATAAAGTAATTTTCTAAGGAAAAAGTAACACCGTTTACTGATTTTTGACAGCAGGGGGGAATCTTGATATTGTCAGGTAAAGTAGGGGAGGTTACTGTAATTATTCAAACCACAGGGGAGGTCCCTGTATTTGTCAGAAACCTCAGGGGAGGTAAATGTAATTTACCCTAACATTAATGTTACGTCATTATGGGCTATTTAGTGAGAGTAAATTAGAGAATGTAACATTATTTTTTTGAGTGATACTACATTCTTTTAATTTTGCATCTTTAATTCCATCCCTAACAATGTAGCTCACTCCTATGTGAAGTGATATCACATTTTGAAGATAATTGATTAGTTATTATTATTTGTCACATCATTATAAGCACAATTAGTGATAATAAAATGAAAGAATATGAATCACTGTGCTTGGTTACCAGTTTTCCAAAACACTTTTCAGAAAATTCTACTTTCTTATTTTCCGTGTTTTTTTGTTTTTACTGAATTTTTTTAATATTTTAAGTAATTTTTTTACTTTTTAAACACACCTAACATAAATACACCTAAAAAGTAAAAAAATGTAAAAAAAATCTTTAAAAAATTCACTAAATGCCAAAATTACAAAAAAAAAATACAAGAATTCAGTACATTTTTTGTATTTCTATGTATTTATTAATTTTTTTAAATATTTTTTCACAATTTTTTTACTTTTTAGATACCTCTAACTAAAAAAATGTTTAAAATTTAAAAAATATTCACTAAAAACAAAAGAATACGAAAATCAAAAAACTCAATTTTCAAAAAACTTAATTTAGAAAACTCAAACCAAACACACTGAATATTTTTCATTTTTTTTAGATGGCGCTAAAGCCGCACAATAAACGTTGTTTCCACATTTATTTTCTTTTTGGCATTTCTACAATTGTTAAGTTAAAATAAATAAAAATTTAATTTCAATAAATTTTGCTTTGTATATTGTTATATTTACTGATGGTGCTACATGCACCAATTAATGTACTAATTAGTGTACCAACACTAGTTATAACATTATTTTGATCCCACTTATTATACAAATTACAAATATTAAAAATCTCTTAAATTGTGTCACATCATTAATTGGTATATTAATTAGTACACTAATTAATACATATAATATTATTTTATATTTACAAATATATTGAGTTAAAGATGATTTATTATACCATTATTAAAAAAATTTAGTGTTTGATAACAATCACTTATTTTCTTAGCTTTTTTGGTGTACTAATAGTTTGGACATTTTTTTTTTTTAATTTGAGAGACATGTGTTACTCCATTTATATGCATCAATCACACCAATGATAGGAAACATTCTTAGAATACCAAGCCTCCGTTTGGGAAGTGAGTTGGCTTTTTGACTTTTTGACTATATGAGCCTGGGCTTAAAAGGTTGGTTTGGGAAGGGCTTTTGGCTTTTTGACTTTTTTAATTTTTTTGTGAGAGAAGAGTGTAATGATTATGGGGTTGGATGGGATGTTTTGTCTGTTGTGGCTCATGAGCCTATTCTGTCTCTTATGGTTCATTGAGCCAAAAAAGCCCAATGAGCCCTTGCTAAACCAACCCCAAGTAACCTAACTCTTTTTTTTTACGCCAACTTATAAGTTTTTTTTAATTTATTTTTAAAGTAACTTTGTCAAGTTTAAAGCAAAATAATATACATATATATAAAGACAAAAAAGTTTTCTTTTTTAAAAAAACATATATTTTTATTGCAAAAAAAAGTCTCATGTGATGGTCACCTGTCAATTTCATTAGTAAAATTTAACATTAAGGTTGTGTTTGGCTTGATGAGAAAATGAGAAATAATTGATAGAATTCGAATTTTAAGAGTTGTTTGGGATGTCCTAAATAAGTGCACTCTTTGACTTTTTAGACTAAAAAGTTGAGAAAAAAAATATGGTTGTTTGAGATAACTTTTTGTCTTTTTATGAAAAAATGTGTATTAAAATATTGTATAAAATAACAAAATTACATTTTTACCCCTACATGGCAGAATCATCAGTGACAAGCGGCAGAGGGAAGTGCGGCTGGGTTGAAATGGTGCATGAGGCTTCACGGATACTGTTCGGCTGTGGGGTCCACCAATGGTCCCGTTTCGATAATCCGAACCGTTGAATGTGTAGAGCTCATTGAGTACTATATGCTTATGAAAAATTACTTTAATTGGATATCGATAGCTATATAATCAAAATAGTTTTGTATGAAATTAATGGATAGTGAAAAATAAATGGCTGAAAAAAAATCTGATTCAATCACATAGCTATCCATATCCGATCAACATGATTTTTTACAGGCATATAGTACGCGATGAATTCTACACATTGAACGGTTTGGATTATCAAAAGCGGACTCGTGGTGGGCCCTTACGGGCCCAACATTACCCTTCAACTTATAAATATATACATCTAATTTTTTTTTGGAAAAATTACCCATAAATCCTATCTACAGAAAAGTTAAACCATTTAGTCTTGTAAGTTTTTATCTATACCATTTAGTCCTATTTTAGTGGCAGAGATTTGGGGGTGTGATTTGATTCTATTTGTTTTGACGTCTATACCTTTTCCATGTTTGTTTCTATTAACATGCTACTGGTTCCGTAATGTTGACCAATTTTGGGGTTTGATTACCATTGTTTTCTTTGTTATTCAGAGTCCGATCACGGTGAGTGCCATTTCCGCTCAGAATAAGGTGACTGCCATTTTCATTGTTTCATTGTTTTGTATGTGGTTACGTAATGTTAATGGTTTGTGGGTTTTTTTAGTTATTAACATAGGTTTTCACCATTTCTGCAATCTATCCATAAATGGTTTGTACCATGTTCATTGATGGCCAATTTTTGTACTGGTTTTTTGATTGATTAACATTGCGTGGTTATTGATTACCATTGTTTTCATCATTTACAATTGATTACCATGGCTCTCCTTCATTGACATTGTTTTTCACCATTGGTTTTTGGAGGCTAAAAACGGTGGCCACCATTTTTCCCGGTGGTGGGCGTTAGTTTTCCGGTTGACTGCCGTTTTTGTGGCAACGTAACTGTACAGTGCAGGGGTATTGGATTGTTGTGTTTACACTGCTGTGGGTAACATTTTCAAAACGAGTGTGTGTTGGTTTATTTTATTTTGTTCCCCCCCCCAATGTTTGTGATCTTTCAGTGAGGTGGCATCAATTAATTACAGCAAATTGATGGAAAGAAAAGGTGTTTTTGTTATGTTTTTTCCTGGGTATGTTGCCATAGTAATGGGTTCAACAAATGTGTCACAGGTTTGGACGGAGGGATATTGTTGGTGTGTTCGTACGGTTTAGTCAATGTTCTTATTCGGTTGCATCAAGATTCGTCATTCGTACAGATTGTTGATAATATTTGTGCGAAGTTTGATGGATTGATACCAGGAGCGGTGTGTTTGGTGTTCAATGTTCCCGGGTACAAGAAGTTTAAGGTGGATAATGACAACGATATTCAAAACATGTTATGCCTTGCTAAGTCGTTTGGAATAAATCACATTGAGGTCCTCATTCTGGAAAGTAGTGTTGGTGTGGGGGGTAATTGTGGTGTGGTGGATTCCACGGAGGATGGGGTAATTTCCCGAGATGCTAGTCAGAATGGTTGTATGGATGACCAAATGGACTTATTACCAACATACTGTCTGAACAGATCGAAGACGTTTTTGTCGGCGCAATGGGCGTATGGGATTACCCATGTGGGACAATGTTTTGACGGTAGAGCAACTGAATTTTGTGAAGTTCTATGTAAGTACGCCATTGAACGTGGATTTCAATTCAAATACATTAAAAATGATTTTGTTCGAATTACAGTAGTGTGCAAGTTTGCGGCGTCAACAGATTGTTTGTGGTCAGTTCATGCAAGGATGTTACCGTCAACTGGGGTGTTATGTATTAAGAGGTTCGATAGTGTGCATACTTGCGGGGCTACTGTACGTACTTGTAGGAACCCTCGTATGGGTTCTAATTTGGTGTCTGCTGTTGTTGCGGATCGAGTGCGCGATCAGCCATTGATGCGTCTTACTGATGTTGTGTTTGACTTGAAAAATGAGTATGGTTTGGACATTAGTTACCAGGTGGCATGGTTGGGTGTTGAGAAAGTTAGAGGTGAAGTGTACAGGGATCACGCTACGTCCTTCGATCAACTCAGGTGGTATAACGATGCCGTTATGCAAAAAAACCCAAACAGTTACATCAACCTTGAGTTTGACCAAAAAATCGGGAGGTTTGTTAGGTATTTTATATCATTTCGCGCTTGTATAGATGGGTTCAATCATTGTCGACCTTAGTTGTTTTTGGATGGAACGTTTTTGAAAGGTAGGTTCAAAGGCAATTTGCTTGCGGCTATTGCTAAAGACACCAATCAAGGTAATGGTTTCATTTAGCTTTCATTTGCAAAGTTAATGGTAATTTGCTTTCATTTTAAAAATTACATTGTACTTATTTTGTGTGGAAGTTGTACAATTTTACTCATGGCAAACTGTTTATGTTGTATGTTTGGTTGTAGGATTGTTTCCGGTAGCCTTTGCTATTGTTGATTCCGAGAATTCATCTAATTGGGAATGGTTTCTTCGTAATTTGAAAGAAGTTGTTGGGGGCAAGCGGACATTAACTTTCGTATTTGACCGTCACATCGGATTAATACACTCTATACCAATAATTTTCCCTTCGGCGCATCATGCATTTTGTTTGTTGCATCTCCAAATGAACTTGCGGGATCGAATGAAATATGTTAATGTATCGCAAAAAATTGGGTTGATGCGCAAGTTGCGGGAATGTGCCTACGCGCCCACTGTTACTTGCTTTAATGAGAAATTTGAGGTATTGAAGAAGTGCAACCCAGCTGTGATTGAAGATTTTCCTAAAGACTTGCACCCAAAACATTGGTCTAATGCGTATTTCAGGTACTTCACAATCCGCTTAATGGGTTATGGCGTATTGTTAATCCCTGCATGTATTTTTAATAATATGTTTTTATTATAATTTATGCTCTCCGTAAACGTTTACTTTGGTCATTTTTTTAGTGGTCGACGGTACGGGGAGATGTGCTCAAACACCACCGAATCTTTCAACAATTGGGTTGGCCAGGCCCGTCATCTTCCTATTACTAGATGGGTTGATATGGTAAGGGGTCAAATCATGGAGCAGATGTCGGAGCGCAGAGTTAAATGCACTAAATGGGCCGGTGTAATATGCCCGAAGATAGAGAAAAAATTGGTGTCAGCGTATAACGACAGCAGGGCATGGTGTGTAAGCCAGGCTAACGATGATGTGTATGAGGTTCATTCCCACCCGTCGATGTTGGTTGACGTCGTCAAGCAGACATGTTCCTGTTTTCAGTGGTAGATTAATGAGTTCTCGTGTTCTCATGTTGTTGTTGCATTCCATAATAGTGGGAGAAACATTTATGATTCAATAGACTTTGGATTCTACATCGAGACATTTCGAGCTACTTATAGCGGAACTATATACCCATTCCAACAGTGTAGAGGCCGACGTTTAACCCAAATGAATATTTGATAGCACCGCCGACAGTCAAGCGTCCTCCCGGTAGGCCCAAACGGAAGAGAATTCCCTCCAAAGGCGAGGTAGTGCAAAGTATACGTTGCGGCCGTTGTGGAAAATTGGGCAATCACAATAGGAAGACATGCAAAGAGCCGTTACAGACGGCCTGCCATGTGGTTTAATTTTCTTTCACTCACAAATTGGGGTTCAGTTGGACTTTTATTCTGTTTTCCGAAATGTTTTTGACATTGTTTTATAATCACTCATTTACTTTTTGTTATGGGTTTATTCAAATTGGTAGAATATACACTTCTTTTTCTGTTATGGGTTTAATTTCAGTGGCCACTGTTGAACAATCACATAATGCACCCTTAACAACCAACCACCGTGGACATTACATTACGACATCACTTTCATGTTGTTATACCGTAACAGTAATGTATGCCATTTGTTTTCATATCAAATGTTTTTGACATTGTTTTATAATCACTCATTTACTTTTTGTTATGGGTTTATTCAAATTGGTAGAATATACACTTCTCTTTCTGTTATGGGTTTAATTTCAGTGGCCACTGTTGAACAATCACATAATGTACCCTTAACAACCAACCACCGTGGACATTACATTACGACATCACTTTCATGTTGCTATACCGTAACAGTAATGTATGTCGTTTGTTTTCATATCTGTGCACATCATACCAGTCAGTCACCCACAACCCACTGTTTCAAATAATGGAAGGCTAATGGTTTTTAATGTTTGGGTATATGTTTGCAATTCACTGTACGTCATATACAATATGCACCATAAACCCACTGTTTAAAAAAAAATTTGAATGCAATGTAATATTACGTTTACAATGGAATGTTGTCCCTACAATGATACTTAAAATGGCAATGGCCAATTATTCTACTCTCATGCCATATTAACCACGTAGCCGATGTGCGCATGTCAACTTACGCAGAGATCAAACCACATTTACTCAGTTACCAACAAACCACGTTTACTCCCGTAGTGGCAAAACAGGTTCCCCCCAACTCACTGTTAAAATGTAACCTCCTGTGTAGATCATACCATATATATATACCAAGGACCATCTGGCATTAAGAGACAATGTCATGCCTATGCACATGAAAACGTAAACATACAATTCACATTGTTAAGGACATTACCATCACATCTCCATCATATGATAATAAAAAGACAATGGCATACTAGTAGACGTGTAAGAAATAATTTTTCGCACGTAAGGTTCAAAGCTGCTAATATGGAATCCAAGAAACTATTTTAATTGCTTAAAAAATAATATCAACATTTACGTCCCCCAAAAAAACCAATTCTAACCAACGCTTAAACCATTTGTGCACCATTTGCCATGATAATAAAGCAACATAGGACAACTACCCAATTTAAAATTTCCTTGCTAACGTTCTGTTCTTACAGAATTACAAAACATATATGTACATCCATAAAACCCAAGAAGAAAACATCGAAACCACGTTTTTGCACCTTCTGGAATGAGCAACGTGAACACCTCTTACAATGTCCTACCACGGAGTCCTCTGCCCGGGTCACTCAAGAACATGTCCACCATCGCAGCTCGTAGCCCAGTTGGTGTGAGACCGTCCATCGTAGTATCGACTTCTGCTCCACGAATGTATTGCCTGATAATGAAGCATGTGAAAATTCCACAATCCGACCTGCACTCACAAAAACCGATACCAGCGTCACTTACACAACACATCATCAAAACAGTGAACTCATTCTAATATGACAATTATTTACGACTCTGGAACTTGTTGCGGACAATCAACAACAGATACAAAACTCCCATCAAAAAGGTCTGCCCCAATGCCGTCAGCTATAACTCTTGGTTTCACAAACTTATTGTGGTGGTTGGCCTCCCATTGTTTCTGTTAATTTCTCACATGTTAGTTTAGATACGTACTGTGTGACATTGAAACCAACAAAGATTACAATTCATCAACCATGCACATTCAGAATTCAATCTGTTAATCTACCATTGCACCACCACTACAAATCGAGAAAAAATCATATATGAACTACTGCCTGTGTTGATGTACTTATAACTTTTAGAGCCTCATTGTAATGCTCATCACGCACTCCACGTCTTGGCCTCATGGAGTTGTAATGTTTCCAATTCTCACTTTCTGAATTGTGTGCCATGACTGTCCAATGGTTGGCATTGTAGATCGGGAATAGTGTATATCTGCACCCTCGCTCAGCCTTCATGTGTACGTTCAAGTACTTCGTTCGCGACATTACGCTGCTGTTCCGCATTATATCCTGCACAATTTTCCAAAGCCACCAAAGTCATGTCAGATTTCATTACAGAAAATATTACTTTCGGATTTCGTACAAATGAACGCTAGTTGTGCTCCATACAGAACACACACTAGTGTAAACGTATGTCGTGCCCACAAATTCTGCTCTTCCAGACACCGTCTTACGCATTTCAGTCAACATAGCAGCGTATGCATCAATTACCTACACACATATGTTACCCATTACAATCACAGTGCACTATTAATAACATTTTGTAAATGAATGTCCAGTATGTGCTACTACCATTTTTGCACCATCAGGTGAGAGTGCATGTATTCACATATACGCAATTGTGTGTTATTAAATTCATTTGTCATTTCGTCACAGGCACATCAACCACGATATGAATGATACAATGTTTACATGTCCAAGTGGGGTTTTTTCCTGTGGAAATAAATATTTATATAAAGGGCAGATTATATGACACCAGCTTACATTGCCATGAATGGAGTTCTGCTGCACCAGATCTTTGATATCTGTGAAATGCACTTGTATTCCATTGTGTCCACCGTCCCACACTATTAACCTACACATCATAAACCAAAATTAAGAACAACAATATAACAACATTTACAACTTCTAAATGTCAAAAAGTACAACATTCCATACAAACAACCTACCCGTCCCCCTCTAAACTGTACATTCTTTCTAGTAGTTGTCTATCTTCATCCTTCAACATGTTCCACACAGTGTGCCATCTGTTTCATACCAAAACCATGCCAGGTTTTCCGCTCCACTTCGACGTCCTCAACACTGTAAATGACCCCGGGCTCGAACGATTTACCTAGTCTCACGTTTGCATTTACTTGTTGTCGCCCAAATATGGCAGGATATTCGTAGTCAGACAGCCTAAATTCCCGTCTTGGTTTGGTCTTCACCCGTTTGACCAGCGACGTCATTTTCTTTGGTCAGAAAGCCCTCAGAATATTTTGGAGGTTTCCAAATTAATTGCTGTGCTTTGAAGAATAACCTTAGCTATGTTGTTAGATTTTACCTTTTTACTAGCTACCGTTGGTTGGGTATTTCTACTTTGAGCTATCTATGTTTATTGTTAATTGTTGTTGTCCCAAATCTGTTTTTCATTTAGTGTGTGGAGTCAATTCTTGTGTTACTTAATATATACTTTTTTGGTTTTTCCTATTCTTTGTAGATGTCTTTTTCTAGAAAGCTTTTATTTTTGCAGTGAGTTGAAAAACTAGCTTGAATGGTTACAACATTTGAGTTGAAAAAGTAGATTCAATGGTTTGAAAAATTAAGGTTCTAAAACAGGAGCACATTGTTAGTTGTCAATGATCAATGAACATCATGTTAAGTCAAAATAACAAGAAAAGTTTGATGGGAGAAACTAATTTTAAGTATCAATATATGCATTACTAGATCATGTTATGGAAGTAAATTTATGAGTTATGATATAAATTTATGGATGGTTGCAAATATAAATAGTTTCTAAAACAGGATGCTTCCGCACTCCATATCTCTTACTTTATTTTTCTCTTTTCTTTCAGAAAATGGATCAATTTTTTATGTTCTCCTTCAGCTTCTCTCTCGAAAATATATAAAATCTTTCGTGTTTGTGTTGTTGTTAGATCTACTGGTGGAAACTATTTAATTTTTATAAAAATCTTAGTTTTATATGTTATGTTTGCAATTTTTTCCCTTTCAACTGTGAAGTCTTCACTTTTTTATTTTTAAACGCAATATGGTCTATATTTTCTCTCTAGAGGAGGAATCACTTGAATTTTTAGTTTTGTGTTGCTTTCCATGTTGATATATGCTTTTCCCATTGTCTGTATTAGAAATAGTATTCTTTGGCTTCTTTTTCTTTTTCCAATTTATATAATGCTCTATAGTTTTCTACACCAATATTTTTCCATGGATTTAAAATTTAATTGTTCTAGAGTTTCCAAGCACAGATCTAACTACAAAGTTATTGTTGTTCATGGATTTGGCAATGCCAAAGAAATGAATTTTATGGCATACCAAGTACTAAGATAAAAACCCTCTTCCTCAGTTTTGCTTATGTTGATCGGAAATTCTCAATTGGATTTGCATTTGCATGTAGAACATGATTTACAATATTTGAAACAAAACAAAAGAAAAAATAGAATCTTTATCTATGAATTATTGTGCTTATGAAGATTATCATATCATACACATTAAAAGGGCAACCTAGTGCATGAGGGCCACACAGGCAAAAAACAACACTCACTACAGATGTTAGCGTCGCTTCTGTGCTTTCCATTTATGCCTAAAACATCTATTTCTTTGGCCTTGAAACTGTTCATGCAGGCTAGCAAGGGTAGTTCTGATGATCAATTACAATTGGACTTCTCTTCCCGGTGGACACTATGGGTTGCATGGTATACACCAAGCTTATCAATTGCTCTACCAGGTAACTCTTTTGCTCAACCTCATCATACCTGTTCATAAGTTCAAAGTTAGTATATAAATTTGCTCAACCTTGTCAAAAGAATGTAAAACATTATGAAACTAT